CTATGACCAGAATATTTCATTGATTTTTTATGTGAATGATGGATCCCATGTCAGGCTTCGACATCCGTCTTGTGTTTACATTACCGCCCAGAGACAGTACATTGCAGTACTAAAGATGTGTACACTTCTGAAATGACTTTCCTTGCATTACATCCTTGGGTAAACTGCTGTAATTCATTTAAAAGCTTTAGGATTGTTTCCTCAAAATGGGGCCATTTTTAGATTGTTGAGAAGCTACCTGAATTTGTGGAATATTTTTGATAAGTCCTCTCACATCTTCGTTCCAGGATTTAGAAAGAGAAAGCACCAGAGCACCTTGACCGGAGTATACAACATTCTCTAGTCGGTCAACCTGTCCTGTCTTAGCCATACCCTCAACCTACAGGTACAATATTATCATTATCATTATTGTTATTATTATTATTATTATTAATGATAATTTATCAGTTCCAGATTTTTTTGGAGTTCTTTTCTCCGATCCAACCTTTCCGTTCAATCCGGAGTTTACATCTCTCCGTCCACGTTTATTTATCTTCTCCGTCCCAACCTTCCCCTTCTTCTTCTCCCCGGTTCCGTTCTTAACAGTTCGTCTTGCTCCGGGTCCTGATTTATCAGGACTCTTTCTCCCAGACGGAACCATCCTGAAGCATAAGATTAGTTAGTTTCTATCTTATTTAATTGAACTAACCGCAATTGTTTGTGATTGAGTACTTTGTTACCCTCCCCCCCTAGTTGGAAGGGGGGGGGGGACGAGAGCAGTGCCCAACCCTTCTCCCTTGATATTCAAAAGTATGTAAGAGTTGGACAAGTATATACCTGTGTAGGACAAGTATATACCTGTGTTGGACAAGTATATACCTGGGTAGGACAAGTATATACCTGGGAAGGACTAGTATATACCTGGGTAGGACAGGACAAGTATATACCTGTGTAGGACAAGTATATACCTGTGTTGGACAAGTATATACCTGGGTAGGACAAGTATATACCTGGGAAGGACTAGTATATACCTGGGTAGGACAGGACAAGTTTACACCTGGATAGGACAAGTATATACCTGGGTTGGACAGAACAAGTTTATACCTGGACAGAACAAGCATGCATACCTCGGAGCTTCAGGAACTTGATTAAGTTTAGCAGTATATCTTCTGATTGTCTGATTGTTTAATAAATCCTCTGCAGTTCTTCCAGCCTTTAACATACATTCACTACACTTCAGGGTTACAGAAGTACATCACGAAAAAATAAAGCACAACAAATTATATTAATTAAGGCGTATACAGCATTGATTCCATTTTGTTTTTCTGATAAAAATTCGCGATTTTTTCAGCAAACAAGGTTTATTCACTAAATATGGTATCCCTTCACAATTTAATAAAAAGTTCAAATTTTTAGATACTCAATTTTTTACAATAAAAATGACAGACCTTATCCTTGATTTCCAGGCTAGCTCCTTCCTTGATCAACCAGTGGTAAAGTTGATGCTCAGGGTCCTTAGCTACAGCTGCATAGTGGAGAACACTCCAACCTTCAATATCTTGGACTGAATAATCTCCGCCCTAAAATCCAATCAACGGTGAAAACTTTTAAATCCTGATTAACATATAAAAATAAGTGTTGTTAAAATGTTAAAATAAAATAAATTTTAAGGGCCGTTTCATTATCAGTAAAGAGAGATAAAAGAGTCTTTGCCGAATTAAAAAAATTTTTTCAAGTGGTGTCGGAAACAAAAATGCGTTTGCTTAATTTTGATTCTTCATTTCGTTTATGACATTTTGGATACAAATTGAATAAGAAAGCTAAACTTTTTCACATGAAAACTCAAATAAAACATAATTTCGAACTTTTTTCAAATGTCGATTTTTAAAATTTAAAAACATGGATTTTTTTTTATTTTTACCTTTTCTAAAATCCACTCCGAGATATCCTTCCTACCTAGTCCGATACTCTGCAAATAAAAAACTTGAAAACAACTTTATAATAAAAGGAATTGAATCTTCACCACAAACTGAAATTGTCTAATCCCTATATCTCTGTAATCTGATAGTGTACACCTTAGATATTTCAAACTTAGTTTATTTGATCCATCATAATTCATAGCTTGACATTTCTTAGGTTTACAAAGATGAGTTGCATAGAGTTTGAGTAGAGTAAGAGGCAAAGACTCATTTCCTTTATGCTGATATTGTAAATTCAGAAAGGTACCCCTATAACCTCTAACTAATCAATAATGTTGAAGAAAGTATTGATTTCGGATAATTCCTTTATTTTTTCCTGCAGTAGAAATGCGCAAGCCACTTTTGTAGAGAAACCTCATTGATGTATAATTCATAGTTGATTAGAAATTACGCTTACAGTCCCTTAAGTTACGATTGTGCAGGGGACATTAGTTCCAAAACTTGGCTCGTTTCTAACACAGAGTGTTAGAAATGGGCACAAATTGAAAAAGTCAATAATTAAAACTATAACCAACATTTTATTAAATAAGACGAGGACAACAATTCCCAATTTAAAACTATTTTCTGGAATCAAAATTATAATAGGAGTTCTTTTTATATTAAAACCCTTGACCGTTTTCAAGACAATGTCAGGTTTTCCATTTTCGAACATATCCTGAATTTGAAACATTGTCGCGTATTCGAGACAAACCCCACTTTCCCGTTTTTGAGTATAACCCTCAATTCAGAACAAGACTCACTTTCATAACTTACAAAATAAATCACTGAAAGTAAAATTATTTTATGAAGACTAAATTAACTGCTAAATTATTTCCAAAATTTTAATTTCCCTAATTTATTTGTTATATAAAAGAATAAAAGTTGATTTAATTTCCCGCATTCTAAATAAACAATTTCCCGGATTTCGGTAAGTCTATGTAAGAACAAAATAATATTAAATTTTGATTTCTCTTGCTAAAAAGATTTTTAAATTATAAAAGAAGAATATATTTTGTTTTCTTTTTTGTTTTTATTTTACCTTTACATAAAATCTTGTTTTGTTACGTAAATGCTTGAAAATTGACATTGATATAAATTCGAGTAATTGTCTCAAAACCAGGGGATATGTTCCGAAAACGCGACATGAGCTGAAATGTGGTAATTGTTTCAAAATAGGGATATGTTCGAAAATGAAAACCAATATCATCAAAAACTAATTCTCACACCTTATTATTAGTTTAAACTGGACATTTCTTGTTTCAATAATTAGTTTTAGCAATTTTTAATAAATTCATGGTGTAGTTTTGTTCAACTCGGCTTGGATCTAAAGATATATACGCTTGAAAAAGATAACTTTGCAGATTTGGCCCATTCCTAACACTCAGTGTTAGGAATGGGCCAAGTATTAGTTTTGGAACTAATTTCCCCTGTACTATCTGTATGCACGTGACATGCATAGAAAATTATACATTTATCTATACATAATACACAACCCTGGATCCCTGAAGACATTGTTAGGAAACTATTTCAGGTTACAACTATTGCAGGTTGCAACCATTGCAGGTTGCAACTATTATTCCATGAATTCAGTTTATCCAGATATATAACCAGAGCTGGGAACTTTAGAATGGTGGATGTCAGAATTAATGCTCAATCCTCTCTTTTTGCTAATCTCGAGACTAACATAATCTCGAGATTATGTTAGTCTCGAGATTA